ACAGTGTGCCAGACTTACTGGGTGAAATCTTTATCTTATGTGTGTCAGCTTTTCTGGATGGATTGCTTATGTAATCAGAAAGAATAAATATAAGGATTTCTTGTCACTCGGGGCTTCTCTCTTTTAGAGGAGCCCGTCTTTGTTCAGCGGAATAAAAACATAAAGTTTAAAGGCAACTTCTGGTTTCCTGTATTTTTTTTATCAAGCAAAACCTCAGAATCTGCACAGCATTTTTTCCTGTTCCTGTGGCATGCATTTTGATATGAGCTTGAGTGTGCCCTTTTGGTATTCCAATGGTGGTGGATTAATCCAACTGTGGCCTAAAGGTCATGTCTTTAGATTTTGGGTGAGGGATGTAGATTTTAGGGGTCTTTGTCTTTCTAATCCCATCAGCTCCAAGCTTCCCGGCACCAGTCTTCCTGAATGAATCACCAAATCTGCATTTCTAAAAGCTGGTTTCTGCTTGGGCAGAGAGACTGGGGGGGGGGGATGGTTTCTGGGGGATGGTTTCTGTCTAAGATTTTTCTATTATTACTTTGGGGAAACATAATATTCTGCCTTTTTAATATCCCCCCAAAATATTTCCTTCTCTGGTTTTTTTTTTGCTGATTTCCTACAACAGCAAGCCAGTACTATTTATTTATCTTATCTATTAGAGAAATAAAGAAAGCAAAAATCATGATTCCAGTCATGTAAATGTTGAGTTTTTTGGTTATTTGAAGTTGTTACTATCGGTTGTTCAAACATTATGTGTACAATATTATTCCAGTGTAATTTAGGATTTTGTCTGATAGGTAAATGTTTTCTTTCAAAATATATGCCTAAAAATGAAATTCTTAGTGATATGATTTTTTTGCATGGGCAAGATAAGATTCCTATATTATGTATCTTTGAGTTGAGATGCTGCATTTTTTACCAAATGAAGCTCGTGGACACCTTTTAAGAGTAGCTCCCTGCAAAGTGCATTGCAATATGACGACATTGATATATTTGCATGGAAAAGAGTAGATGGACATTTTTTGTTGTCAGAAGGCAAAGTTTAGTATTTATTAAAAAGGAGGAGTACGCTGTGACTATGGAGAAACAAAATGAGATCTTTGATTTAGATTCATGATATTTCCAATATATTTCCATGCATGCTTACTTCAAATGCTTCGGATCTTTCTGTTCCTATTGAAAGCTAATCTCTATTGAATGGTGAAAGTATCTCAGGCTAACCAAGTAATGAACTTATTTTCAAGGTTCACCAGTTTCAGCTAATTATGGGTAACTTTCACATCCTGACTTCTGTATATCGCAAAAATTTCACAGAAATTGAATGAGACTGCAATTGGTACTTGCCAGTGTAATTTCAAGTATGCTATTACATGTTGTTAATATTAAACAGATTTATCATTTGCATATGTTTTTTATAATCTCCCTCTGGACAAGAGTCAAGATTCATATTTTTCCTGTCTACCTCTACTTCTTAATTCTATCTTAGATTAATTTAGATTAAATTAATTTAACTTGTCTTTCACTCAGACACATTAAATCATTTCTCCTTTAACAGATTTTCGTATCATATCTTCAAATATAACAACACTGAAATTGTCTACAAGCTTACCAAGTTTAAACTTTATAACCCTAATTAAGACTTCTTTTCATGGTAGCTGTTTCAGGCACTGCAGTCATCACAAAAATTAAAGAACTGTGCTGGCCACATCCATTGATACTGTAACTCCAAAAAGCATGTTAGAAAAACGATGTAGGAAGTTATCTTAAACTATGTTACATCCTGGCTATGTAGCTCAGTAGTGGCTTTTCAAATACTGCTGAACTGAGTCTGTTGGGACTTGTAGTTTTGCCTTATCTGGAGGGCCATAGATATTCTACTTCTACTCTACAGACTGATTGGTAATGATTCTCTAGAATATCAGATATAAGCCTTGTTGTTGTTAGTTGCCAAGTTGTGTCCGACCCATCGCAACCCTATGGACAACATTCCTTCAGGCCTTCCTGTCCTCTACCATCTTCTGGAGTCCATTTAAGCTCACGCCTACTGCCTCAGTGACTCCATCCAGCCACCTCAGTCAGTTCCTAAATGGAGACGGACCTGGATTCTTTTACATTCAAATCATTACAGCTAGTCTGTATACCAAGAGGATGTACCACATTTCCTTATAGAAGTCAGCTATGGCTAGAGCATTATTCAGATGCCTTTGAGATCAGTGCAGTTTGCTTCTTTCTGAGTAGGTCCCCTTAGAATTGTATTGTGAGCTCATTGGGACACAATGGGAGCAACATTAATAAAGTTGAATATGAATCATGTGAGGAAAATAATATGTTTTGAGCCTTTCTAAGGAAAGTAATGGAGAAGGTGGTAGAGAACCTGCTAGGGGACTATATAGAAAATGGATTGCCAAAATCCTTTTAAATCAGGATTTAGTTCTAATCATGATACACAAACAACTTTGGTCAATCAGATAGATGGTCTTCATCAAAACTTGAATGGTCCCAGTAAGATTTGTGGTTCAGCACTATCCCCACAGCTCCATCTTGAGTTTGGAATACATAATCAAGCTATCTCAAGGGTAAATGAGTTCATGTCAAGCACACACAGCAACCAGAATATATAAAATAGCATTAAGATCTGCATCAAAAATGGGACTATATATGGCAGACTGCACTTATTGGGGCAACCTCCTTAAATATGATAAAAACCCCATATGCCATAAGAGGAGTGTGACCCTCCTGGTCCTGTTCTTTGTGGCATTCACTATCAAAAATCATGTTATTCTTCTGTACTGCCAACAAGAATTAAGGATTTGAGATTCCATTTTATAGTGATGGGCAGATTCAGTGCTGTGAGAGAAACACTTGAGCATTTTGAATTCTACTAGGGTTCTCCTCTATGCTATTTAATATTTACATGAAACTATGGGGAGACCTCCTTATATATCTCCTATGGGGAGATCTCTTTTTCAGATGTATGTGTAGCTTGTACCCTCCTTATAATTCAATTGCAGGTGAAAATATATCCTTTTCCCATGAGACACCATGTCAATTTAAAAATGATTTCAAATGACACCATTTATAGTATTTAGTCATATTGTTTATATAGATTTGCTGCTGTTTGTTTTCTGGATTGGGTTTGAAATGCTAATAGATAGCCACATTCATCTAATTCAGTCTTGTGAGGAAAGAAGCTGGAAGCAGCACCATCCAACCTTAGTAAAAGAGAACCAGTGCACAGACAATAAGCAAAGAATGTTGAATTGATTGATGCACAAATCCTGACACAGTCCATATTTCAATTTTGCATTTTTTTATGCCAAGTGGGGTGGTTTAAAAATGGCCAGGTGGAGTATTTTAATAGAATAGAAGAATAGAATAGAATCTGGACACGTACTTAAAAAAAAACCCACTCCTTTCATGTCTGTGGAGATTCTCAGTCATCCAGGTCATGGTTTATCTTGAAGACATTTCCTTTCTCATCCAAGAGTTCTGAAGAACTGAACTGGATGAGAAGCAAAACATCTTCAAGGAAAAACAAAGGAAGTCTAGTTACTTCCTGAAAAAGAACTTTTGGGACACCTCTTTCATCACTGCTTTTCCTCACCTTAAATTGTTTATTTAACACTTACACAGAATACTGAATCTTCCAACCAGCAGTTGGCCTATTGTCTAAAATATGAGAAAACAAACACCCCTGCCAAATTGTTTGGAAGAGCTGTAACTTGGAATAAAATATGGTCTTGGCATAAGGTAATCTTGTATGGAATAAGTAGCTGGGCACACAGTGATGCTTCTTCCTTAAGGCTGAGTTAACATGTTTTTTATTAATCCTTGAGGCTGCCTATACAGGCATAAAAGTGACTCCCTCCATTGGAAATTCCTATCCTGCCACTGGAATAATACCAGCAAAACTGGCTGTCCTTATTTATTGTATACAGGTCATGTTATATACAGGGATTGTGGACTCCTCCAGATTTGTTTTCCTTTCCCCCCTACCCAGATATCATTAGTTGGAAGAAACATCCATCCATCATTCTGATTAGTGTGGGGAAAAGAATAGGTGCATCAGCCTGAACATTGTCTTAGGGGAAGGGCTGGGTATGAGATGGAGACTGTTTCATGAGGACATAGTGAAGAAAGAATTTAATAAAGTATTTTTTGGGAAACAGATATAATGTTAATTCAAATATGTGGCTGCTTTTCCCCCAGCCTGTAGTCTTAAGTGACCAATGACCATATGCACCCTACACAGATTCTACAAATGTCTTTTAACCATAGATCTATAAAACAAAATTTGGGAGGGCTGAATGCTGGCCTTTGAGCACTGTGCCAGGGGATATGCAGATATTGAGAAAATATCTGCATATCTATGCAGGGTTTTTTGGCAACCTCACATAAATGGTTCCCTATGGCCTACTTCTAGCAGGCATTTTTTTGACTGGGATTCCTTGGTGTCTCCCATCTAAAAATAATGATGACTAACCTTGCTTAACTTCTGAACCCAGACAAGCTAAGCCAGATGATGCCACTTGCTGAGACTCTAATTTTAACATAAAGTAAATGAAATCCAATAAATGAAATATGGCCAGCATTGTTACTTGCCATTTTTCTATCAAATTTCCCTTTCTGTAGGAATTTCAATTCAATGGAACCTTTAGAAGGATTCTGGGGGCTGCACTTATGGTTCTACATTGTTGTATGAGACCCTGTGACTTTAGCCCTTAAAAAAAAACAAGCCTTCTGCTTGAAGGTGGAAAATATTTTACAAGGCTAGTGGTCCCTAGCCATGTGAAGATTGTAAGTCCCAGAATCTCCCAGTCAGGATGAGCTCCACATTCTGTATGGAAAGTTATGGAAAACTGTATGTCCCCACTCCTTAGGCAGAATGTATATAAAGATTAAAACAGGGCACTGTTTTTTGTGTGTGGGTGTGTGTGTGCCTGTGCATAGAAAAAGTCACCAAAACAGAATTAATTAAGATTCAGACAAGCTTCTATTGTTACTATGATTATTACAGAATCAGATTATTACAGAATCAGACTTTATTCCATAAAAAGCAAAATATTAAAATCATTCCTTAAAATCACTCTTAATTTAGTTTATAAAAGTCACTTCCTTCTGATCATCCTGCCTACAGCAGTTTGTACTTCCTTGTTCCTTATGCTATAAATTAGTGGGTTTAACATGGGGATCACCACTGTATAAAATACAGAAAACATCTTGCCTCGGTCTGCTACAAAGGTACGGCTGGGCCGCACATATATAAAGAAGAGGGTGACAAACAAGATGGAAACAGCAGTGAGGTGGGTGGAACAGGTGGAGAAAGCTTTCCGCTGGCCCTCCACAGACTGGATCCTTAGGATGGCACAAACAATATAGATGTAAGAGATAATAATAAAAATGCCGCTGAGCCCGCCAAAAGTGAAGGACATGATAAATAGCACCATCTTGTTGATTTGTGTCTCAGAGCAGGAGAGGGATATCACAGCAGGGATATCACAGAAGAAATGATTGATCTTGGATTTGCAGAAAGCTAATTGGAAGGTCATAACTGTATGTGTCATGGCATTTAATAATCCAGCAAAACAAGGTGGAACTAAGAGTAATAGACAGGTTTTCCTAGACATAATAACCATATAAAGCAATGGATTAGAAATAGCTACATACCGATCATATGCCATGGAAGTTAGGAGATAACATTCAGCAGCCACGAAGAAGGCAAAAAACCACATTTGTGCTGCACAGTCCCTTAAGGAAATGGTTTTGCTTTCTATTACAAAATTGATCAACATTTTTGGGGTGACCACAGAAGAATAGCAAAGGTCCAGTAATGACAGGTTACTAAGGAAGAAGTACATGGGGGTGTGAAGCTGAGAGTTGATCTGGATTAAGAGAAACATCCCCAAATTTCCCAGCAAGGTAATGAAATAAACTGTCAGGAAGAAAATGAAGAGTAAAATCTGTAATTCTGGAGACCCAGCAAATCCAACCAGGATGAATTCATACACCAGTGTGTGATTTGCTTTTGCCATGTGTGCTTTTTCTGCAAAGAAGAGTGGAAACTAAGTTTAACTGCAAAATGTCACAAAACATTGACATTGAATGGAAGAAGATCAAAAAAAAGGAGAGGCTGAATTTCCACATGCAATATCCCCAATTTCAGCTCTTACCTAAAAAAAAAAATAAAAATAGAAAGTTTGGGTAGCAAGTGAAAGTTGATTTTTTTTTAAAGAAACCATATTACACACATCATGTGCAATTTCAACAAAAATATTACTAACTATGCCTCTTAACCTTTCCAAATTTTAGTAGTTCTATTGCATGTTAATCTTTCCCTTGTCCTGAAATCATACCCCATAAATGCCCTAAACTCTTTACTGCTGAAATACTGCATTTTCCCCTCTGTCCACCTCAACTATGAAATGATGCAATATTTAGATTTATTTTCTTCTTGTTCCTGACTGTAAGCCTAGTCACTCTTACCTGCGACTAAATTGTATTTTTGCCGAGGGAGGATCCTTTTAAGCAGTCAGATCTGACAAAGACATGCATGGGGTCCAGGGAAGGACTCCTTGGGATGGGTTTCTGGTCTTGCAGCACAGAAAGGCATCTTTATATTTGTCCTTCAGCCTTCCTCCTGGAGTTTGGGGAGTATACTGCCACCATCAGGTAGTAACCAATATATATTTTTTATTCCAGTGGGTACAAAGATTACTTGCACTGAAAAAAATATATATTTAATCTGAAGGTGCTTCACTTTCTGCCTGCTAGTGCACATTTCTCATTGGCTGTCTTTGCAAAATAAACCTATGCCTTGGAATCTGCGGAAAAGGTCAGATCTCCAAGAGTCAGGACAGCTGTCATTATGTGTTTGAGTGATTGACATATAGAAGGTGGGTTATAGTAAGAGATCCTGTACTGTTAGGAATCACCTACTTGGGTAGTACGCTCTCCTTTGCTGGAGGGGAACTCTAAGATGATCTCCAGGATTCCCTCCAGCCCTTCTATTCTAAAATTTTGTAAGTAGTTCTATACACACCTTTCACACAGATTTCCTTAAACATTTTTTAAATAATTGTTTCCCATAAAATATTGAACAGACTTTTATTTTACAAAAGCATCTTGAAATGGAAATGGCGCACTCCTGCCTTCTTTCTTAAAGCAGATGCCCTGCAATTTGACCAACAGCTAAAGTGGCTCCTCTGCTACTTTGTTCAGCATTGTGCCAGTTTTTCTCCTTTAAAGCACGGGATGTGGTTAGTTATGGAGGTGAGATTGAGATGTAATTGATGAAACCATGTGAGAGACATCTTTGTCTACATGTTTCATCAATCTTATTCTGGCTTTAGTAAAGGGACTCTTACTTTGCCATTTGGAAAAAAAAGTCTAGTCAAGTCTTTCTTTGTAGCCAAAGCATTTCCCCCTGCATTTAGATTGGTTAGAGTGGAGAGTCATGTAGGGCACCAGAAAAGTAGATAAGGATCAGTCAAGGAGAATTTAGGTTTAGCTACTGGTTGTGCAATAGAAAATCTTGTTTGGGATGGTCCATGCCTCCAAGCTGGGTACCCACTGGACCTGCAGTTCTTGAAGGTCAGGAGGAAAGAGGTAGACCTGCACCAACCTGAAGTTTTTAATCAGTGTTATGCTAATCCCACTCCCTGAATGGGATTCATTGAGAACACCACTGGCAGAACAGTTAGCCAAGTCTCTCTGATTGTTTCTAGGGCAAAAAATGTTCTATTATGGAAAAAAAACCCCAGTTGAACACCAGGACAGCTAAGGAAAACTTAAGGTTACCTTAGTATGGAGATCAACTATGTACATGGGGTCACAGCAGAAGAGTTTCACAAAACAAGGATGGGCAACAGGTAGATACAAGCTTCTTAACTAAAATTTGTGGGTACTTTCCCCCCCTGCCTCTGTTCTCAAGTGAAAATCAAAAAGCGAATGAATGAATCTCCAGGAACTTTCTCCCATCTTGACCAACTTAACCATATGCATATGCATCTTACATATATCTTCTAATAGGGATTTATATATCTAAATAACAATTTGAGGCAGGCGGTAGCTGAGGACTACACTTGACCTTTGAACACCATGATAAAGGATACATTGAGTAAAAATCCATATATCCATGCAGTTTTCTTGGCAATTACACAACACTGGTTTCCCATTGCCTTCTTCCAGGAAGCATTTTTTGACATTCCAGGCTAGCCAAGAGCCCTGAAATTCCTTGATGTATCCCACCCAAAACGTAACCATGGCTGACTTTGCTTAACTTCTGTGCCCAGACAGGATAAACCAGATGCTGCCCCTTGCTGAACCTGTTACATTTCCTTTACTTTATGTTAAAATGAAACAAAATATGGCCAACATTTTTTCTTGCCGTTTATCTGTCAGCTTTCCATCGCATTCAATGGAAACTTTGGGAAGATTCTGGGGCCCATAAGGTCTCCAACTTTGCAAGAGACTCTGTCACCTTTGAACATCTAAAAGGGAAATAACCCTTTTTTAAACCTCTGCTTGAAGGCAGACATTTCTTTCCCCTGGACCCATGGCTCCTAGGTGTGTGAAGGCTGTGATTCCCTGCTAGGATGAGTTCAACATTCTGTACAGAACATTATGTAAAACTGTATGTGTTCATCCCTCAGGAGTGAAAAGAGTACAGTTAATTAATACAGGGGTGGTGGAATAAGAAAAGTGAAAAAAAGGATCTACAACAGAAATAATTAGCAATCATAGAAGGTCAGGATTAATTTTATTGATTCCACAGTACCGTTTTGTAACTACTACAAAATAAAATTTTATTCCGCATGATCATTGTTATTAAAACCTTACCTGTTGTATTTTAAAAGCAAAAGATCTAAGTTTTATTTATTTTATTTTATTATTAAACTTCTATGCCACCTATCTCATTGAGGCAATTCTAGACAGCTTACAAGTTAAAGGCAATCATACAATTTAAATCATTATTTTTCTTTTTGGACAAAGATGGAACTCATCACTTAGGAGACTAGCTCAATGTTCATGACAGTCTTTTTCTTCTGATCATTCTCCCTATGGAATCTTGTACTTCCTTGTTCCTTACGCTATAGATCAGTGGGTTTAACATGGGGATCACCACTGCATAAAACACAGAAAACACCTTGCCTCGGTCTGGTAGAAAACTATGGCTGGGCCGCACATATATAATGAAGAGGGTGACATAGAAGATGGAAACAGCAGTGAAATGGGTGGAACAGGTGGAGAAAGCCTTCCGCTGGCCCTCCACAGACCGGATCTTTAGGATGGCACAAAGAATATAGATGTAGGAGATAATAATAAAAACACTGCTGAGAGTGCCATGAGTACAGGACATGATAAAAAGCACCATCTTGTTGATTTGTGTCTCAGAGCAGGAGAGGGATATCACAGCAGGGATATCACAGAAGAAATGATTGATCTTGGATTTGCAGAAAGTTAATTGGAAAGTCATAACTGTATGTGTCATGGCATTTAATAGTCCAGCAAAGCAAGGTGGAACTAAGAGTAATAGACAGGTTTTCCTAGACATAATAACCATATAAAGCAATGGATTAGAAATAGCTACATACCGATCATATGCCATGGAAGCTAAGAGATAACCTTCAGCAGCCACGAAGAAGGCAAAAAACCACATTTGTGCTGCACAGTCCCTTAAGGAAATGGTTTTGCTTTCTATTACAAAATTGATCAACATTTTTGGGGTGACCACAGAAGAATAGCAAAGGTCCAGTAATGACAGGTTACTAAGGAAGAAGTACATGGGGGTGTGAAGCTGAGAGTTGATCTGGATTAAGAGAAACATCCCCAAATTTCCCAGCAAGGTAATGAAATAAACTGTCAGGAAGAAAATGAAGAGTAAAATCTGTAATTCTGGAGACCCAGCAAATCCAACCAGGATGAATTCATACACCAGTGTGTGATTTGCTTTTGCCATGTGTGCTTTTTCTGCAAAGAAGAGTGGAAACTAAGTTTAACTGCAAAATGTCACAAAACATTGACATTGAATGGAAGAAGATCAAAAAAAAGGAGAGGCTGAATTTCCACATGCAATATCCCCAATTTCAGCTCTTACCTAAAAAAAAAAATAAAAATAGAAAGTTTGGGTAGCAAGTGAAAGTTGATTTTTTTTTAAAGAAACCATATTACACACATCATGTGCAATTTCAACAAAAATATTACTAACTATGCCTCTTAACCTTTCCAAATTTTAGTAGTTCTATTGCATGTTAATCTTTCCCTTGTCCTGAAATCATACCCCATAAATGTCCTAAACTCTTTACTGCTGAAATACTGCATTTTCCCCTCTGTCCACCTCAACTATGAAATGATGCAATATTTAGATTTATTTTCTTCTTGTTCCTGACTGTAAGCCTAGTCACTCTTACTTGCGACTAAATTGTATTTTTGCCGAGGGAGGATCCTTTTAAGCAGTCAGATCTGACAAAGACATGCATGGGGTCCAGGGAAGGACTCCTTGGGATGGGTTTCTGGTCTTGCAGCACAGAAAGGCATCTTTATATTTGTCCTTCAGCCTTCCTCCTGGAGTTTGGGGAGTATACTGCCACCATCAGGTAGTAACCAATATATATTTTTTATTCCAGTGGGTACAAAGATTACTTGCACTGAAAAAAATATATATTTAATCTGAAGGTGCTTCACTTTCTGCCTGCTAGTGCACATTTCTCATTGGCTGTCTTTGCAAAATAAACCTATGCCTTGGAATCTGCGGAAAAGGTCAGATCTCCAAGAGTCAGGACAGCTGTCATTATGTGTTTGAGTGATTGACATATAGAAGGTGGGTTATAGTAAGAGATCCTGTACTGTTAGGAATCACCTACTTGGGTAGTACGTTCTCCTTTGCTGGAGGGGAACTCTAAGATGATCTCCAGGATTCCCTCCAGCCCTTCTATTCTAAAATTTTGTAAGTAGTTCTATACACACCTTTCACACAGATTTCCTTAAACATTTTTTAAATAATTGTTTCCCATAAAATATTGAACAGACTTTTATTTTACAAAAGCATCTTGAAATGGAAATGGCGCACTCCTGCCTTCTTTCTTAAAGCAGATGCCCTGCAATTTGACCAACAGCTAAAGTGGCTCCTCTGCTACTTTGTTCAGCATTGTGCCAGTTTTTCTCCTTTAAAGCACGGGATGTGGTTAGTTATGGAGGTGAGATTGAGATGTAATTGATGAAACCATGTGAGAGACATCTTTGTCTACATGTTTCATCAATCTTATTCTGGCTTTAGTAAAGGGACTCTTACTTTGCCATTTGGAAAAAAAAGTCTAGTCAAGTCTTTCTTTGTAGCCAAAGCATTTCCCCCTGCATTTAGATTGGTTAGAGTGGAGAGTCATGTAGGGCACCAGAAAAGTAGATAAGGATCAGTCAAGGAGAATTTAGGTTTAGCTACTGGTTGTGCAATAGAAAATCTTGTTTGGGATGGTCCATGCCTCCAAGCTGGGTACCTACTGGAGCTGCAGTTCTTGAAGGTCAGGAGGAAAGAGGTAGACCTGCACCAACCTGAAGTTTTTAATCAGTGTTATGCTAATCCCACTCCCTGAATGGGATTCATTGAGAACACCACTGGCAGAACAGTTAGCCAAGTCTCTCTGATTGTTTCTAGGGCAAAAAATGTTCTATTATGGAAAAAAACCCTAGTTGAACACCAGGACAGCTAAGGAAAATTTAAGGTTACTTTAGTATGGAGATCAACTATATACATGGGGTCACAGCAGAAGAGTTTCACAAAACAAGGATGGGCAACAGGTAGATACAAGCTTCTTAATTAAAATTTGTGGGTACTTTCCCCCCCTGCCTCTGTTCTCAAGTGAAAATCAAAAAGCGAATGAATGAATGAATCTCCAGGAACTTTCTCCCATCTTGACCAACTTGACCATATGCATATACATCTTACATATATCTTCTAATAGGGATTTATATATCTAAATAACAATTTGGGGTGGGCGGTAGCTGAGGACTACACTTGACCTTTGAACACCATGATAAAGGATACATTGAGTAAAAATCCATATATCCATGCAGTTTTCTTGGCAATTACACAAAACTGGTTTCCCATTGCCTTCTTCCAGGAAGCATTTTTTGACATTCCAGGCTAGCCAAGAGCCCTGAAATTCCTTGATGTATCCCACCCAAAACGTAACCATGGCTGACTTTGCTTAACTTCTGTGCCCAGACAGGATAAACCAGATGCTGCCCCTTGCTGAACCTGTTACATTTCCTTTACTTTATGTTAAAATGAAACAAAATATGGCCAGCATTTTTACTTGCCGTTTATCTGTCAGCTTTCCATCGCATTCAATGGAAACTTTGGGAAGATTCTGGGGCCCATAAGGTCTCCAACTTTGCAAGAGACTCTGTCACCTTTGAACATCTAAAAGGGAAATAACCCTTTTTTAAACCTCTGCTTGAAGGCAGACATTTCTTTCCCCTGGACCCATGGCTCCTAGGTGTGTGAAGGCTGTGATTCCCTGCTAGGATGAGTTCAACATTCTGTACAGAACATTATGTAAAACTGTATGTGTTCATCCCTCAGGAGTGAAAAGAGTACAGTTAATTAATACAGGGGTGGTGGAATAAGAAAAGTGAAAAAAAAAATGATCTACAACAGAAATAATTAGCAATCATAGAAGGTCAGGATTAATTTTATTGATTCCACAATACCGTTTTGTAACTACTACAAAATAAAATTTTATTCCGCATGATCATTGTTATTAAAACCTTACCTGTTGTATTTTAAAAACAAAAGATCTAAATTTTATTTATTTTATCTTATTATTAAACTTCTATGCCACCTATCTCACTGAGGCAATTCTAGACAGCTTACAAGTTAAAGGCAATCATACAATTTAAATCATTATTTTTCTTTTTGGACAAAGATGGAACTCATCACTTAGGAGACTAGCTCAATGTTCATGACAGTCTTTTTCTTCTGATCATTCTCCCTATGGAATCTTGTACTTCCTTGTTCCTTACGCTATAGATCAGTGGGTTTAACATGGGGATCACCACTGCATAAAACACAGAAAACACCTTGCCTCGGTCTTGTAGAAAACTATGGCTGGGCCGCACATATATAATGAAGAGGGTGACATAGAAGATGGAAACAGCAGTGAAATGGGTGGAACAGGTGGAGAAAGCCTTCCGCTGGCCCTCCACAGACCGGATCCTTAGGATGGCACAAAGAATATAGATGTAGGAGATAATAATAAAAACACTGCTGAGAGTGCCATGAGTACAGGACATGATAAAAAGCACCATCTTGTTGATTTGTGTCTCAGAGCAGGAGAGGGATATCACAGCAGGGATATCACAGAAGAAATGATTGATCTTGGATTTGCAGAAAGTTAATTGGAAAGTCATAACTGTATGTGTCATGGCATTTAATAGTCCAGCAAAACAAGGTGGAACTAAGAGTAATAGACAGGTTTTCCTAGACATAATAACCATATAAAGCAATGGATTAGAAATAGCTACATACCGATCATATGCCATGGAAGCTAAGAGATAACATTCAGCAGCCACGAAGAAGGCAAAAAACCACATTTGTGCTGCACAGTCCCTTAAGGAAATAGTTTTGCTTTCTATTACAAAATCAATCAACATTTTTGGGGTGACCACAGAAGAATAGCAAAGGTCCAGTAATGACAGGTTACTAAGGAAGAAGTACATGGGGGTGTGAAGCTGAGAGTCTATCTGGATTAACAGAAACATCCCAAAATTTCCCAGCAAGGTAATGACATAGACTATCAGGAAGAAAATGAAGAGCAGATTCTGTAATTCTGGAGGCCCAGCAAATCCAACCAGGATGAATTCATACACCAGTGTGTGATTTGCTTTTGCCATGTGTGCTTTTTTCTACAAATAAAAGAAGAAAGTAAGTTGAGCTACAAATGTTTGTCACAAAAAGACAATGAAGACAAGATAGGCTTCATTCTCCCATAGAGCATACAGTGCTTTTCTCATACAAAAAATTCCCAATTTCAACCCTTACGTAAGAATTGAAAGTTGCTTTAAAAAACAAAACAAAAACAAAAAACAAATAGACTATACACATCATGTGCAATTTCTACAACAATACAACTAAACATGCCAGTTAAACTTTCCAGATTTTGGTAGTTCTTTCGCATGCTTATCTTCCCATTGTTTTGATATTATACCTAATAATCACTTTAGCGCTATAATACTGCATCATTCCCTCTGTCCACCTCAATTATGAAATGATGCATTATTTAGATTTCTTTCTTTCTCATTCCTGACTGTTATTCTAGACCCTCTTACCTGGGACTAAACTGTATTTTTCTGAGAGAGAAATCCTTAAGCAGTCAGATAGGGGCTCCAGAAAATGACTCCTTAGGATGGATATCTGGTCCTGCAGCACAGAAAGATGTCTTTATATTTGCTTGGGTCTTTCAGCTTGCTTGCTGGAGTTTTTGGGGAGTGTACTGCCACCCTCAGGTGGTAACCAGCATTTTTTTTTGTTTTGTTTTGTTATAATGAGTATAAAAATTAGCTGCACTGGAAAAATGTATTTAATCTGAAGATACTTCAGTTTCTACCTGTTAGTGCACAGTTTTTATTGGCTGTCTTTGCAATATAAACCTATGCCTTGGAATCTGCAGAACAAGTCAGATCTCCAAGAGTGAGGACAGCTGTCCTTATGTATTTGAGTGGTTGACGTATAGAAAATGGGTTATAGTCAAGATATTCTGTTCTATTAGGAATTGCCTACTTGGGTGGTGCACTCTCCTTTGCTGGAGGGAAACTCTAAGATGATCTCCAGGATCCCCTCTAGCTCCTATATATTATATAGTTCTATAAGTAGTTTTGCATATATCTTTTGCAATGATTTCATTGGATATTTTCTTAGATTTTTTAAAATAAAATTTAGATTATATGCATGAAATTTTGATTATGTACCATTAAATCATTGCCAACTCCTTGTCATCATGTAAATAGGTTTTTCTCACTGATGATCTGCCCATAATCTGATCTTTCAAGTGCTCCAACGGTGTACTCTTTGCCCTGCATAACTGAATCCTTTGACATTGCTGCTGGCTGTCCTCTTCTGTGATTTCCTTTCACCTTTCCCAGTGTTACACCTTCCTCCAGAAAGCTACATCTCCACATTATGTATATGA